GGACGTCCCATTCCATTCCGCCCCTTCCTCCGGCCGCCGCGATGCCCATCAAACATTTTTATTTACAGTCGGCGACTGGATAAAAAGTACAGTCTTGCTCTTGCACCATTTATATGGTCCCACTCCCGCATCCCAATTAATGTGGGTCATGTACTTTCTTTCATGGATTTTTCTGCTTTAATCATCTCATTTTGATAAGCATGTCTGGTTATGAGCTTTTGTTTTCTTTTTAAACGACCACCAAAATAAAAAGGTTGGCATACTTTTGGCGTCAGCCTCAGCCAGTCCACTGCGACTGTCGTCTTGGCATGTATAGTTTTGTTTATTTTACTTCTCTCTCCTTTTTTTTCTCCCTTTTGTTTCTGATGTAATAAAATGAAAAGCGTCTTTCGCATCCTCTTTCCAAAATCTTATCCTTAACCGTATATTAATTCTGGCAAAGGGCAAAAATTATTTTGGTATTAAACTTTTGCTTATATTCTTTTGAGAAAGGTAGGGAATGGAACAAAGTAATTTCTCCACAACCTCTCGGCTTTTGTGAGTGGAGACACGGACACACCATAGATACCAATTCAGCTAGCTCCTTTTTATTGGCGGTCTACTACTCTGCTTAATAGTTATTGTTCTTAAATAGGAAGGATTAAGAATAAGTAAATTAGTTTTTCCTTGGTTTCCTCAATGTGAAGTGGGAAGAGCAGAAAGGGTATTCCTTTGGAATATTTATTATTTTATTTTTTAAGAAATACACTTTTTTTTCTTTTATCTGCAATAATAACTATCTAATCTACTTTTATTTTATGAAGGGCGTCTGTCTAAAGAGACTTGTATGTAATTTGAGGGCGAACTGCCGGATCAAACAAGCATACTACGAGTAAGTAAGTAGTGCACTCTCTGAAATTTTTTAGAAACAAGAATAGCTATACTTCTTCTCATGTGATGCACTGGACAGAAATTTGAGCATCCAACCCAGTGCACCGGCAGTAGGGATCCTCTATGCCACTACTCGGTGTCAAATGCAGTGCCAATCTCACTGATCGCGTGATAATAGAAGAAATTTAAATAAATAACACATGATAAATTAAATAAATAGAACATTTGACATAAATATAAAAATGACACTGAATTATCACCGAAAAAGTGGCACTGGGTATCCCGTGTGGTGGTGCACGGGAGGCACAATTAACGGAGTTTTTCCTGGCCATTGGACCAGGACTCAAATGCACTCGATTGGACCCCGCAGAACAATACTCGTTTTTAGGGTACAAACTCAATCTACTGGTATCTTTTATCGAGTTTATTGAATGGGGTACCGAAAGAGACGTTGTCAGGTTGGTTTTGGGGCCTCCGACATTCATCATTAATCACAAGAAGATTTTTATTTTTTTTTCTAAAAGTATGGTGCTGCCATCGTAGTAGTATTATTAGTTTTTAACCTAATATACCATTTGATTAGTCTCCCTTAATATTAACTAACCATCACTTGGGTTCGTAAAGATTTTAACCATCTGCCAAATTCTTGACTCTCTCATGCAGCCTAGCTAGTTTTTTTTTTATTCATTCTTCTCCTTTCCACGTCTGATTTCGCCAACAAAGATTTGTGGTTTTTTTTTTTTTTTTTGGTTTTGAAAAAAGAAAAAAATGCAGCGTTTTTACTTATGCAAAGTGTCAAGCTTCTTCGAACCCAACAAATTTTCATTTTTATATCATTACATGCGACAATAGTGAAGCCAAATGATGATTTTAGTTTTGCAAATATCCACTAGAAAATTCATTTCAGGGAGGGGAAAAACAAACACAAGTAAAAAGCAAAAAGGAAATGCAGTGCAGCTTTATCGACAATTACGGATGCATGGATGGACATGCATGGCTGGGATCTCTGTAAAACACGACTAAGTAACAGACTATAGTACTTCTGATTCATAAGACTTGAGGAGGCAAGTGTATGAATCTTTTATTCTGTCTTTGCAGCCAGAAAACTTTCCCATCCCATCCCCTTTTTCTCAAACTGCTGATTTGTGTGTTCTCTTCCTTCTCTCTCTTTTTCCCCGTTCTCTGATTCCCTTCTCAGCTTTGTTACAAAAATTCCCTCGCTTTCTTAGCTCTTTTACCTTTCGTGACATTGTATTGTACGTTTCAATCCCAACACCATCCAAAGTTTGGGAAACGATTTTTCCTTTTCCTTTTCTTTCTCTTTTGCAGTTTTGCTTTTCTCCTTTCCCGACCTGAGCCCCCCATCACCAAAAAAGAAACAAAAAAAATAATAATAATACTAACAAAACAAAAAATATTATTAAAATCCCAGAAAATTTTCTCGCAGGTTCTGAGACAGCATTTGTCCAATCCCTATCTGGAATAAATTTCGTCAGTGACTGTGATATGTCTGCCTTGTCCCGTCCTCACATAATCAAAAAAGCTCTCTGTTTTCGGGATAACCTACGCCTGATCTCTTCTGGTGCATTTTAGCACCACATGCGTATGCGTACCTACCTACCCAAAGTTTTGTGTGATTAACCATGGTTGTAGTAATTAATAATTCTTGACCAATGTATAAATTAATTAAAGGGAATTTCAAGGTTGCCGGAGACTTTATGTGACCTGTCGGCGTGGTTGCCTATAAAAAAAGGTGAATAGCACCAAGCCCTCCTCAAAAGATGAAAAAAAAAAGGGTCTACTATTTTGGGGAAGCGGCATTGGAATTTCGGTACTCAACGAACTGGCTAATTCATTAGCTTTTCAAAGAGTGATTAGAGATTTTTTAATTTTAAATTAAGGGACTTTTTATGCTCAGCTCGTACCTCGGCGACAGCGTTGTAATTTGTCAACTGGTTAAGAGTCGAACTCTCTACTAATTAGAGGTTGGACTTGGGGACAAAGATTCACAAATTATGGCTGCACTAAAATTAACAAAAGTCGCAAGAATACAAGTTGTGGGGGACACAATTTCAGAAATTGTGGCTGCTCGAAGATTACTACAATATATGTTGAAAAAAGTTTAAAAAAAAAAGGGAAAAGGGGAAGAAGACATTTCATTTCATGGACGATTTTGAGAAATGCTACTTGTAGTTTACGTGCGGACACGCGCATATACCACTCGATTAAGCTATAGCCCAAGGAGCAAATAGAAGTTTTCTTCTTTTTTTTTTCGTGGGATCAGCGAGAAATTTTAAATTTTATAAGCAAAAGAAAAAAAAAAAGAAAAGGTTTAATGGTCGAATGAAGAATTTCACGATCACCTAACTAATGTCCTTATCAATCGAGTAGAATTTTAATAATACGTTGATAGAACTAATATAGCAATGCTTTTCCTAGTTAAAATTAAAATTGAGCTAGCACAAGTGAAAATGAATGGTTCTAAAATCTCAATAGCTTCGAGGATTTGTGAAGAAAAACTTAAGCAAAGTATTTTCCCACATGCGAAACACAATTTAGCATAAAAATGTTTAAATTACCAGTGTGAACGTCAAGACAACTAGTAGTTGGCACGTAAATTTGACTATTCATTCTTATTCTCTAAAAGGTTTTATTAAACCCCACCCCTCCAAAAAAAAAAAAATTATAAAAAATCTCTTTTTGTCCCCCTAAAAACTTTCAATTGTCAAAGGACTGAAAAGGATATCGAGGAGAGTGTGCTTATGCAGTTCAACAAAATTCCCGAAGTTGAAAAAACGTAAGCCATTTTCTTTCTAGCAAAATAAGAAATTCTGAGGTGATGAATTCTTTAGTTTCCCGTTTCTATTTTGTGTCAGACTGTCCGGTGGTACCTATGGATGGTTTTAAATGGTTTAGAGACAACGAGGATTCAACAATATTGGGTTTTTAATTTTGTGGCAATTCTCATGATTAGGTTTCCTTTAGTCATACGTTTTCTTTAATTGGCAGTTGTCGTATCATGCTTCTAAATTCTAATGGTGACATACAAGATGATGATGACGACTCTTAGAACTTCCAATTTGCATGCATAGGAGCTTCGCTCATGTTCATGCTAGCTAGCGGTATCACACGTTTTGTGTTTTCAAACTGTCATTGCGTCTTCTCTTCATGTTTAATGAAGAAGTACTTAGGTAGATTTCTTCTTTATTGCAATAATATGTGTAATTAGAAAAAAGTGTTAGAATGTTGGGGAAATCTTTTTGGTTTCTCTTTTGTAGAAGTAAAATGTTATAATCAAATGCATAATTTCATTAAACATGTCAACTAAGTATTACCTAGTGTTTTTCTAACAGTGGCTAATGAGCGCCTCGTTGACACACTAAAATTCTACATAACCTACCATGTATATTAAATATACTATAATTATTATATTCTTTTGCATTTATACAATTTACCTAACTAATCTTATATTTTTAAAAATCTAACGTCTGAAATATCTATTATGTATATATACATACTAATAATGATTATCATTTCTTGAATTTATATATTTTTTCTAATTAATTTTACATTTCTAAAAATCTAACACTTGAAATATAGTGTCCGATGACACTTGTTAGACATACCTACTTACCTTTTTTATTTTTCTTTTGACAAAGACAGGCCCACATTTAAAAAAAAAAAAAAAAAAAAAAAAACACACCTTACAGTGCAAAACATTTAGCCAAAACAAAAAAAGCCGTCAAAGCTATCTTTATATTCCAAACCCTTGGATATAAAATTTTAAGTAGGCAATTTAATAGTGGAGTAAGATAAGCACAAGTAACATAACTGACAAAGTAATTATTAGAGATAATGCTACAGTAATACAAATAATTGAAAGAATAATGTGGGAGATAAACAAAAAATGCAAGGATAATGTGGGATATAAACAAAAAAATGCAAGGATATGCTTGTTTACCAAAAATAGCTATGCATTAGTGCAAAATTTACAGCCTTTGATTTAGACCAAAGTCCATGATTGTTCTCATTCCGTCCATCCTTTGCTCCTTTTGTTACAGTTGTGGAAGGTGAGAGAAAAAGAAAGAGGCAGACAGATTAAAGGATCAGCCCCGACATGATTATGTACATACAAATATAGTGGACTACTCCCAAATAATAAGCTAAATAAAAGAGCTCAAGAATCTTCTCTTTCCTACTCTGCAAATTAAAAAAACTCAACCTCATCCCATCTTCATAGCATAATATTGCTACTGGTATTAGGCTATCAGCATTCCCCTCCTTTCCTCTTCGAGTTTTTACATTTGTTTTCTTTTAGATTGGTCCTTGGTCACTTTCAATACCTCACCTTTTCATTACTTTTCCTGAATCTTTCTTGTGGGTGTTACATATCTGAAGTTGCGCTAAGATTTCTTGAAAATAATTTTGATGTCTATGCCCTTTGAGGAACATGATTACATAGGCTTGTCAGAGGTTCCTGCAATGGAAAACTCTGAAAAGAATAATGGTCTTCCCTTGGGAGATAATGAGAAGAAAAATACCGCTAAAGTTTTGAACTTGAAGGCCACTGAGCTGAGATTAGGCTTACCTGGTTCAGAGTCACCCGAGAGAGAAACAGGACATGGTGGAGAAGATAAGAACGGGTATCAACTTGGCGTACTTAAGGGTTTTGTTTCAGGGGCCAAAAGGGGCTTTTCTGACACCATTAACGGTGGTTCTGGCAAGTGGGTTTATTCTGGGAGTGGTGGATCTGAGGTGAACTTGGCTAATGGTGGTGGCTTGTTCTCTCCCAGGGGTGCTAATGGCGCTGCCAAGAGTATTGGTGCTGGTGGAGTTGAGAGCGGAAGTCAGCAAACTTTTGTGGGTTCTGGGGTTGGAAAAGAAACTGTCCCTCAGTCACCTAAGCCAGTTCAGGAGAAGAAGCCTCAGGTTTCTGCTGCTAATGGCCATGCTGCAGCCCCTGCCGCTAAGTAAAATTTTCTCCTTTCCTCTGTTGTTTGACATTAAAACTAGCATGCTTCCTTAATTCTTTGAGAGTAAGAGTAGCAGCATGATTGTAGAGTTAGTTGTTTTGGTCCTCTGGGCACCGTTGCCGTTCATGTCTCCTTTGTTGATTTTTGACCTTGTTAATAAGCAGTTATTACTCCATTCAATTTTGTTTTTCTTCTTAACTAGCTGATACAAGATAATTCTTTGGTTGTTGTGACTTGGGGTTTAAAGATCTCTTTGCTCTCCGTGTGCTTATATTTTGAAAGACTAGGAGATAAGAATTTGTCGAGATGTCTATACCTTCCATTTTGGAGAAGTTTTATCTTTTTCAAAACTTTTTTCTTCTTGTATTTTTGGTTCACTATAGTAACGTAGGTGAATTAGAAGAAAATTGAAAACCTAACGCCTGGAACTAAAGTTTTTCTTCTTATGTTTGTGTGTGTCAGAGCGCAGGTGGTTGGATGGCCTCCAATCGGATCTTTCCGAAAGAAAATGGCTATTAATCCTCCCAAGACCGATGAAGATGCTGATGCTAAGTTGGGAACTGGTTGTCTTTATGTCAAGGTAAGTATGGATGGTGCCCCCTACCTGAGGAAAGTTGACATCAAGATCTACAGCAGCTATAAGGATCTATCCTCAGCACTGGAAAAGATGTTCAGCTGTTTTACAATCGGTAACCCTTCGTACAATGTTTTCATCTGCTTGATAATTTACCAATTCAACCTTTTTATGATCTAGGACATTTTCATCATGGACTTAATCAAGAAAAAAGTTTTCTGTTGTCATCAGCAGCTTCTCAAATCAGATTATATATCAAGTGCAAATATTGGCTTTGTAGGATATTCATCATACCGTATTTTTTGGTAATTTATCAACCAAATCTAAGATAAATTAGGGGAACAGCTTGACTTATTATTGAAATACTATGTAGTAGATCTACTTGTTTGATGATACTTGATTCACAGGAAAATCTCGCTCAGCGAAGAAGGACCTTAGCAAGTGGGGGGGGGGGGGGGGGGGAAGATCAGACTGAAAGGCCCACATATTTCAGATAGAACTGGTCTTTTCAGATAACTTCTATGCAATAGTTTGTAGTCTAAGTTAGGCTTAAATAATGCATAAACATGTCACTTTTGTTTGGTGTTTCAGTGTGTGTGTGTGTGTCTATATATATATATATAATGGGGGTTAAACATTTTATTTTTCCCTCTGGTAAATCTATATTAGAACATTTTATACACACACACACACCACAAACTGTAAATGGATTGTCTTTCATAACTGTTACAGGTTGTACAAAAATGTTCCCAAGTGTTTTTGAGTATGAAGAAAAGGAAAAAGAAGTTCCAATGCCCCCACCCACATTGGCTGTGGGCGGATTCCAGAAACCCCGAGTTCCAGCTAAGGCTCGACGCCCCTCTCATACTACACTGTTTCATGATGGATGAGGGGCCTCCCTCGACAATTAAGACGGTTTGCTGTCATTTTTTCTTGGTCCAAAATAGCTACACAACTCACATTAATTATAGAGGCCATCATTAATTATGGGCATGACTTCCCTAGTTTATGGCTTCACCAATCTCAGCATCCATCACCCAAAACTTACTTGCAGATGTGCATGAGGCCCAAAGCTGCTGCTCCCTGCCAGCAACAAAGCCCCGTTTGGTATCTGTCACGCGCCGCAGCCATCAAACACCAAATCCACGGGGGCCACCAGTTATATATGCTAGTGGCACAACACTTGGGAGTTATTATTTATTCTTTTGGTATACGGCAGCCGACTTAAAGAGCTTATATATTGCGTCTTAGAATTAGGTCAGTTCTTGGCCATCGCCAGCGAACAGGGACATTGTTATATATAAAATCATTCTAAAGGCGGCCGCGTTCTTATCTTATTATAAACTACTCGCTACTTTAGTGAAGGAGAAAAGAAAAAAGAAGTGGGGAAAGAAAAAAGTACCACCTAGTTCTCCCTTGCAATGCATGATCGCGCGAGTTTTCGTCCACTTTGGGTTGTGCATTATATGGGGGATAAAATTGGTCATTTTGATCAACAGTAGTATTTGACTGAATTGAACGACCAAAATCTGCTGGTTGTTTACGCCACCACGAGTTGGTTGTGTTGCAAGCAGGTGGACGTAAAATTGCATGCACATTGATTTTCGTCACTCAATTTGCAGTTGGGATCCTCTATGCCACTACTCGGTGTCAAATCCAGTGTCAATCCCACTTATCACGTGATAGTAAAAGAAATTTAAATAAACAACACATGACAAATTAAATAAATAGAACACTTGGCATAAATATAGGAGTGACATTGAATTGCCACTGAAAAAGTGACACTGACGATACGGTGTGATCAATTTGATTCAAATCAGTCGTCGAGCAATTGCATGTCTATTGATTTCTACTCAAACTCGGGCCTCTTCCGCCTATCAAATAGTACAGGGAGGTGTTTGCTATTGGATCTGATGATGTGGAGACATAGGAGCTAATTCCTTCCCATTGGGCAATCAAAATCAGTTTGGGAACGAGAAACCCGTGCTGTCACAATGGGGCGAATAATTCGGAGTAAACTTTAACAGTTTGATTCCAGTAATAGATTAGAGGGTCATTATATGAACTTGGGTTGTCGATGGGTCGATGGGTTTAACAGGGTCGAGAGAGTTTGAATATAAGTGTAAGACCCAATTTTTTAATGAGTTTGGCCTAATTACAGCCCCGACCCAAATAATTTTATATTTAAATGTATATTATATATATATAATATAAACTATACATATTATAAAGTAAAATATTAATAATTTATATAAAATCACATAGTAATACATAAATATTAAACATGCTTTTCATAAATAAATAAATTATAAACATATGTTATATATTATTGCATATTTAATTGTAAACTTGGGCTTGACTTATTGTAAGTCTGAGACTCTAATAATTTGTAAGTTGAATATGAGCCTTCTTATATGAGTTTAAGCTCAAAGCACAAAAGTCAAAAAGCCTTTTTTTTTTTTTTTTGGTGATTCGAACTTGAACTTGTCGAAACTTAACTCACAAAACTCGATTGACAGCCTTAATATAAACCAATACTTCCCTATCAATAAACCCAATGTTAGGTTAATCATTGGAGTCGATCCAATAGTTAAGGGAGAACTGTTAGAGTATTTTTTGCTGCTAAGTTTAGAACCCTATATTTAATAGTTGGGATGTGAAGAGTGTGTTGAGAGATGGGAGGAGTACAGGAGGATTCGAATCATATGCTTGATATTTAGAGGTTAGAAGAGTTAAAAAAAAGTCAGGTTACACTTAAAAAAATGTCAAAGTTACGTTAAAGTCAATATAATACACTAAACTCTCTGCTATAAAGAAAGTGCTGGAATGGTATAAAACATGCGGGAAGAATAGATACCTAAAATCTTCGATTTATTTATTTTTGTAAGGCCTGATTGGGTGCCGACAAAACTTTTAAAGGAAACAATTAGTAACGGAAAAGTTTGTACCATTATGATGCTGAGGCTAATAAGTCACTCTGGATTACTGGTGCAGCGAGAAGCCTTAAAACAAAAAACAACCAGAAATACGCCGCAATAGTAGTAGAATATAAGCACTATAATGACGATTGAAGGCGGAAATTTTCAAATCTCGTGAAGATTGAATTTCATGGATGCTGGACTTTTATAGCAGCTGTTGTTGTCTAGAAAGGATGGAATAATTGGATTTAAAGACGCAATAGATGATCGCATAATGTGGATTGTGCTAGGGTGGGACATTTTGCCGTTGGGAAAAGATCGTTATCCATAATAAATTCACGTACCCAAAAATGGTAAAATGTTGGTTTTCATCATGGTGTGAGAATGGTAAAGAAAAGGCCATTGAAAATGTTTTTGTTTTTTTTTAAAGCACATTTCATGCTCACCTAATTTTTTGTCACACTTTTACCGTTATCTACAAAATTGTTTTGTAAAAGTTATCTATAATCATTCCTTATAAAATACCAATGAAAGACAACGTGGAGCTGTTATAGATCTACAACTAATGGTTTTTTTTTACTAGTAAGGATTAAACACCAAATTAGCACTTTGCTCCAATTCAACAATCACTACACCAATTCAAGTTATCCTAGGGGCCTTATCAAGTGCCTCTCAAATTTTGGTTTGGATTGAATTCACCTTTTTTTTAACCTCACCCTGTGTAATACTAATAATCCACCAACCACGAAGATGAGAGTAAGGCGTATTACATAAGTGCTGTATGATAAATAAATATATCAAAAGAGGTTCGAATCCGAATTGACGGGAAGGCATGACAGTGACTCTACCACCAATTCAAGGGACGGATTGAATTTACCTTGCTAAATAGACATGTAGGACAAGACAAATAGTATAAACTCATACTAATTGTGAGAGTGAAATCATTCTAATTGGGGATCCTAATGGCTAATTGTGAAACCAACGGCTCCAGAATTGGGTAGGCAAATAAACAAATGATGAATGTGTCTTCTTTGCATGAGTTGGTTTGAGATTACCCATGTTATCCTGCAGCCTTGCAATTAAATCCCTCTCGTTCAGCTAACAATCAAGAAAAGAATTCCATCTGACCATAGCATTTAAATTTGGACGCCAAATGTCCTTTCCAGCGCTACCACTGGGCCCTTCATTATCCTAAACTTCATGAACCACCACAAACGGTGGCGCGTAGTCATCCAAGCGCGTGGCCTAATCCCTTCAATCTCCTCTCCAGAAAAATGCTATTGGCCAAGAAACCTTCCACTTCATGCACTATTACACTTCACTCACTCACACATCTACTTCTCCTTTCAACTCCCCCAAGAGGACCAGGACAAAACGACTGATCTGAGACTACTGCCTTCTTCAACTCCACAGTCCCATTACGTCTCCTCCATTTTCCCCTCATTTTAAATTGCAATCTCGCTGCGCAATACGCACCCTGATTCTTTATAACTCCATCCCATCATCATCATCATCACCACCACCACCAGCAGAAGTAGTACAGTACAATCACTCCAGAGCCTCGTGGCAATAGCATCATTCCCCCCCCCATTTAATTGGATTGAATGTGGTATTTATCTAAATTCCCCACTCAAGTATAATGCTCTGCTCTCATCATTTTTTGTTTTAATCACAATCTAAATATTTGTCCTTTGAACTTTCTTTTCGGTCTTCCCATTTAACTGTTCTTTTCTATAGTATTTTGGATCAATCACTCTAGTTTAGTTGTATTAGATGTCATAAAATTCATTACTCGGGCCACAATTTTGATTTATAGTGAATCTGAATGGTGGATTTTTCTGGGTTTTACTTAATAACGTAATTCTTTTGGTGCAAGTTAAGATTTTGTTGGAGACTGATTTTTTTTTTTTTAATTTCCCAGACTTGGGTATTGCTCTTGTGATTTTTCTGCTTGAGGAATTGTAGGAGACCTGTTTTGGAAGTCTTGGCTTTGGTGGTGTATTCTGTGGTTGATTAAACTTCGGTTGTTTGCTGAAGCTGTAAAGGCCTAATGAATGTTTTGGGAATTCTGGCATCTGGGTTTGTCTCGCTTTTGTGTTCACAATAATGGGCTGCGCTTATTCAAGGGCTTGTATTGGAGAGATATGTGCACCAAGAGAAGTCAAGGTTAAGGAAAGTGACAAGGTTAAAGCGGCTGAGATTCGAGTGTTCTCACCTGCTTCTACAGATGAAGAAGGGGAAGTTAGAGATCAGTTTAACCAGTCAAGTTTAACTAGGGATCATGAGGTAGGTATAAGTAGACTGTCTAGGGTCTCAGCCCAATTTTTGCCACCGGAAGGCTCACGGACTGTGAAGGTTCCGACAGGGAATTATGAATTGAGATACTCATTTCTATCTCAGAGAGGGTACTATCCCGATGCACTTGATAAAGCTAACCAAGACAGTTTTTGCATTCATACTCCATTTGGAACAAGTCCAGGTGATCATTTCTTCGGGGTTTTTGACGGCCATGGGGA